CCCGACCTCTCTCTGCCTCTCCCATTTAGATTCCCTGTATCCCACAGAATGAACCCCCCTCCCCTCTGTATTGCACGAGTTTGGGGACCCCAGAGTGCCAGGGAATCGCGCAGCGGGATACGTACGCCGCGGGGCCAGCAACCCTGTTTCCCCCCACCCTGCCATGAGGTTATTAAATGAGATGAGATCAGAAGATTTGGATGTGTTTCAAATATCGCCCACTTGGGTTAAAAGCTCAATATCCCTGGTCGAGGCTGTAGGGGACCAGGGGATGCTGCTCCCTGGTAGCCCCTTCTCATCCTCCTCGGTTCTTGTGTTCAGCAATGAGGAGCACATGGGGAGGAAGGGGAGGTCGGCGTCCGGTCCGAGACGTGACCTGCGTCCCCTCCCTGGCCCCGGTGACTCTGAGGTGCCCCAGGAAGGAGGTGGTGCTGTGGCCGGTGCGGTCACCCCTGCTCCCACACAACTCTCAGACTTTTGCTTCTTTATTTTTACCTGGTGCTTTGTTCAATCCCCTCCAGGTCTTTGCACAGAGCGAAGGGGTCGAAGGGCAGGACAGGGTGGAGGGAGGGTCCTGGGGGAGCCTGGCTGCTGGGGGTCCTATCCTGTTCCCCCCAGCCCAACCTCCCATGCAGACATCAGGATTTCAGCTGCGTATCCCAGGAGGGAGCTGGGGAAGGAAAAGCCTCTGTTTGGGTAGGTCTCGTCATGTACCCAAATATGATCACCCTGCTGTGAAATGGAAATCTACGCAGCAGTTTTTCGAAAGAGGAAGAAAAACCACAAGGATTGAAAGAAAAAGAAGTGGGGAGATGCTGCATGGAGGGCCTGCGGGCAGCCCCACGGCGTTTGCACTGTGGGCAGTGGGCGTTCAAGCAGGATCTCAAGCCAGGGGGAAGCTCGGCTCCATCCCTGCCCCAGCACGGGCCAGGGAAGCTCCTCTGGCTGCCACTTGCTCCCGAGGGCAACCCAAGCCTCATCATCTGCAAGAAGCTCCGCTGCTGAATGGGGAGTGGGAGCACGGGGGGAGCCACTGCCTGGACCAGCTCTGGTGATGCAGCCATGCTCCCAATTTTCCCCTGAGCCCCAGTTTGATCATACCTGGGATAAAAAAGCCAGAGGAAGAGGAGGAAGCCCCGCATCATCCCAACCACTCTGTCCCAGTGAGCACCATTGGCAGGGCCAACCCTCAGCTACACAGGCACAGCCCTCGGTGCCGTACGGCAGCTCCGAGCCATGTCCGGATCACTCCCGTTCCCCAATTCCCCTACATCTCACGTCTCCCACTCGCTCCCAAACCAGCTTGGTGCTGCAGACTCCAGCAGAGCCCAGGGCTGGGGCCAGGCACCCGCAGCCCTGAGAGCTGGCAGGGCCTGGCATGTCCCTCTCAGTCAAAACACAGCCCAGGGGCTGAGCTGATGCCCTCCGAGCACCCGGGAGGCTGCAGCCATCCTGGCATCGCTCCTTAGCCCGGCCAAGGGGAAGCACCAGGACACGCAGCCTCCAGCACCCCCAGAAATGCAAGGTGGGCTCAGCAAAGGTCAAGCAGTGCTGGTTTTGCCCTGTTTTGGCATTGGAAGCTCTGATCAGCTCCTGTGCTCCAGCATCTCTCTGCAGCAGCTGTTTGGGGTGAAGATCCCTCCCCTCCTACACTCTCCTGCCAAGTGGGGTGCATGGAGTCCCACACCCTGTGGCTGCCCACCCTCCCTGGTGTGCTTCGTATGTGCCAGTCTGCAAAAAGCATCTCAGCAGCTTTTCACCCACAACAGAAAACCCTCAGCCCCGAGGCGAAGCCCGGCCAGATAAAAATAACCCGGCAGCAGAGCAGCATGCTTCGCCGCCGTCTCTTGCGTGAGCAAAAAACCAGCGAAAGAAGCCGACAGCACATATCAGCTCAGCATCCCCCGGCTCGCTGCCCTGAGCGGGAGGCTGATGCTCGTGGACCTTCATAGCAAAGCGGGATGATGGGGATGTCGTCAGGCTGGGGCTGGCTCCTTCTCCCAGGTGAGGAAAGGCTCTGACCATGCCTAAGATGCTCCGGCTCCCGCTGACACCAACGGGCAGCCACTGAGCTCCCACCCAGGGCCACAGGCTCCATGTCAGGTACCGACAGAGCCAAAGCCTCCCATCACCGCAGCCTCAGGTCTGGGGCTAAAAGCAGGCAGATGGGGTCTCCCCCAAAATTCTTCCTTCCAAAGGGAGCAGAGAAGGAGAGGCTCGGGGGAAGGCTGATTTGGCAGCCCTGTTTCTCTCCAGTGTGGCTGTGGATTTCTTTGCAGTTTGCCAGGCTCTGGTTGTCCCCAGGGAGGTCAGTGGCCGGACAGGGGAGACGCTCTCCCTCCGCTGCTGGTACCCCTCGGGCTATGAGGGCTACAACAAGTACTGGTGCCGGGGGGCCAGCCGGGACTCGTGCCGTAAGGTGGTGGAGACGGCAGGCAGGGAAGTGCCCCAGCGGCACGGCCGGGTCTCCATCCAGGACAACCACATCTTCTGCGTGGCTCTGCTCAACATAGAGAAGCTCTCCAAGGCGGATGCTGGGAGTTACTGGTGCGGGGTCGAGAGGATGGGCAGGGACCTCATGGAGCCGGTGACAGTGAGGGTGGTCCCAGGTAAGCCCTGGTGTCCAGCTGGCTGGAAGTTTTGCTGACCAGGACCCTTTTTTGGAGAGACCACTGGCTTGTTGGGCTGCGGGGACATCGGGGGGGGG